GGTGGCAACCAGTCGATGTGTCTCTCTCACATTGATGTTTCTCTGTCTCTCTTCTTGCCTCTCTCCCTTCCTCTCTCCCTCCTGCTCTATCTGAAGATGAATGCAAAAATGTCCTCAGGTGAGGATTAAAAAAAAAAGCAAATAGCAAAACTATAAATGAATAATTACCCAGCAGAGGAGATAGGAGGACTCTTTTATTTGCAGAGGTCAGAATGGTCTGAGAGGACACCTCAGTGGGGACTTGGGATCTAGGCCACAGCAGTGGTCACTAACAGAAAAGAGGGTGAAATAAACAGATATCACGTCACACACACTGGGCCTTAGTTAAGGAAATGTCACCTCGTGTAGGCAGTGGTGTGTTTAACAGTGAGATGTGTCCTTTTACTTTTACTTGTTTCTATTTTAAGTAATTGCTTTGACAGGTCTTGGAAGAAAAAAATCATTTCCTCTCCTGCGGATTCAGTAAGTGCCCTTAAATGTCTGATTATGTCACGTTTTCCGTGGAGACAACAGTGTGATCGGCTTCTGTGGAGATCTACCAGTCAGTGCTGGCCGCGGCTTGGGATGTGATTGTCAGGCTGCCGCTGCTCACGTACTGGTCATCACTTCCCAGTGGGGAAATTACAGCGTCCACCTACCGTCCTGTGCGGCTCCCGCCTGCAGAGTGCTTTGAAATTGTCAGAGGGGAGGGGGTGGGGGAGCGGATGGAAGAAGGTGAAGGGATTAAGCAATAAAACACATAGACACACACAACAGCGTGGTGGTAGCCAGAGAGGGGGGTGGGGGGAAGGCAGAGGTGGGCGAAAAGAGGGACTGGGGTGGAAAGGGACTTTGTTTGGGACGATGGGCACAGAAGGCAGTGTGCAGATGATGTTTTATTGAGTTGTACACTTGAAACCTGCACCCCAATAAATTCAGCATCTTAAGGAAAAAACTCATCTGTGCCCATGAAGAAATGATCACTGGTGCTGTTCTGAGCAGGAAGCGAGGACGCAGCCGCGAGCACACCGTGTGGACTCCGGCACAGTCGGGACCGCAGGCTCCTGGTTCCGTGCAGCCTCGCAGCCCATTGCTTTCCAGCAGTTAAACCCGGGGGGCCGGTGCGAGAGGCTTTCTAATGAATTACTGCAGTCTCCGGAGAATAAAGCTGGCTGACAACAATTAATCCAATTATTGCAGGCCGCTCCAACACTAGAAAAAAGGGCAATCTTTTACTTTAGTGCTTTTTGCATGGAAGGCATGTATACAACAAGTAGACTGGAAAGTGTTCGGTGTGTTCTGGAAATTGTAGGGGAAAAGCCACCTGATATAAATTAGTCTCCCGCATTTCGAGTAAGGAATGTTACAAGATCCTTGCAGCCAGTGATGCTACGCCTCAGCCTGAGCCTATCTATGTACATAGACTGTGGTTAATATTTAACCTACATTTATAATCAGAGTCTAATATTTGCACTATGATAAATAGGTGATAGATACGTAATTGGATACATACATACATACATAACAGTAGGTAGGTAGGTGGGTGGGTGGGTTGGTAGGTGGATGGATGGATGGATGGATGAGCTAGATAGACAGACAGACAGATAGAAGTCTGGACTTCTCTCCTAACAGGGAACATCAGAGAGGAGCCAAGTTTTCAACGAAGTTCTTAAGATTTACCACAGATAACCTTCTCCTTAAAACTGGACAGAAAGGAGAATTAGTGAGGATGACATTGGTGATTACTGTAACGACAGTGACTAACATTTATCCAGGCCTTGTTTTATGCCAGCTCCTGTGCTACGTTGTTTTAATGTATCCTTGCACTTCATCCTTTGAACAATCCCACTGTCCTGTGCATGTGGAGAGATCGTAATGGAAAGAGGTGAAGCATTTGCTCAAGTTTCTGCAGCTGTGGGTGCTGGAACGGGGAGCAGAGAACAGGCTGCACTTCAGACCTTTTCTCTTTGTGCATCTGGAACTCCAGGGGGACCCGAAAGTCACCTGTCCAGCCTCCCTCGGCCCTTTCTCCCAGCTCCCCGACTGGCCAGCACGTTGTATGACAGCCCCCTCCACCACTACCAGTGCATGGAATGGACTTCTTTGAAAAGAATTTTTTCCTAATTCCCAGAATTGTTCAAACATGAGTTATGTCTGACTATTTTTTTCAACCAGACCACAGTGTGGTTGGGTAGGTGTTTTAAACTGATTCAGGTTGCTCTGCGATCTGTTTGAGATCATTAAGACCGTTGTTTGCCCAGGTGTGGCCACTGCGGTGGTACACAAACACGTTGTTCTGCTGAGGGTAGTCAAGTAACATCAGTGAAAGCCAACTGCTCTGATTGGCCCTCTGCGCCTGCAACACCACCCCCATAGCACGCCCACCGCTGAACACCAGTGGCTGGAATAGTGACCTTGTTTGGTTGCATTTCCCTACTAGTTACAAAGGTTCTAGCTACACTACCAAGGCATGTGTATTTCTTGAGTTCAAATGATTTAACAATCGTAATCACTATTGAATGCCTACTGTATGCCAGGCTCTGTTCTAAGAACTTTGTAAGTATTGACTTACAACATTTACGGGCGGCTCTATGAAGTAGGTGTATTATTATTAACACTATTGAAAGACGGGGCAATTGAGATATTAAATGTTAAATAATTTGCCCAGGGCCATTAACTAGCAGATGACTGAACCAAGCTTGAAGCCAGGTGGTCTGTCCTGAGTCCATGCTCATACGGACTATGGATATCACAGCCGCCTCTGTGTGTTCCTCCACTAATATATATATATGTGTGTATATATATATATACACACATATATATATATTACATACACAAAATACACAACCTGGAAATTCAGAATCTTTTATTGTTTAAGGTGTCACTCTGCAAAGATGGATCTCTTTTAAGCCCAGGAGTCCATAGGAGACAGATATTTAAGGAAGATGAGCAGGAGATAATGTAATATATGAGCTGAAGGAACAAGATGGATGCTGAGTCAGGTTTTGTTAAACGAATCTTATGGCTGGCAGGGCTGACATGTCAGATCGTTCATTCATTTTCGATACCAAACCATTTCCATGAGTCATTCTTATAATGTTAAATACGTTATATAGCTATAATACCAGTAGAGAGTGTGCTTAAATGTGTCCGACACATTCTTTTGCTTCACTCCATTACTGTTTCTCATTTCCTTTGCCAAAGATGTATTTATCAGATTATTTTTTGTGTGGGTTGATCCATATTTCAGTGTTATTCAGGCAATCTTGTTTATTGGTGCTATTATGCTTATTTGAGTCTTACTTGCATGCCCAGATTCAACCCATGTGAATATCATCCAAGTGTCTCTTTCTTCCTTCTTGCACCAAAAGCAAAAGGAATCTCCTTTGGTAATAATGTTTGTCAATGAGAAATACACTTGCCAGTGAGAAAAAAAAAAAAAAAATACACAGGATGTATTTGGGGCTATTTAGCATCCAACTTCTATCTGAAACAGCTTTATTGTATCAGATAATGTATTCTATTTCAGAATGTTTAAGGTTGAGTTTCTTGACTGTGTGAATGCTATACTATTTTCTTTTCTCCTCTAACTCCCCCACCCTGTTCAGCAGCAGACAAACCCAGGGAGCCCTGAACGAATCCGATGATCCTGAATCAGGCTGTCTGTCTGATAACAAGCCAACTTCTCGACACTTCTATCCTGTCGCCTTGCTGCTTGTCAGCTCGCACCTGCTGGTTGTGTGGCTCATTTTAAGTCTTGCATTACTATTAGCCAAATACCAATAAGTTTTCCTCCGTGTTCCTTTCTTTTCTACAAATGACAACGGACTTTAGATTACGGGGACAATGCTGTCATATTTCTACATTTTAAGATTCAGAGAATTTAAAACCAACAGATGTCTGACTTGTGTTTCCTCTTTTCCCTAAAATCTAAAAGAAGAGTTCTATGCATTGAGTGAGTTATTTTGCTCTTTTGTTCATGGAGAAGTGTTTCCCACTGTTCACTAGCTCAAGAAGAACTTTTAAATGACTGTCTTTGGAATAAGACAAAGAACAGAATCCTGAAAGCTTGAAGGTCTGCTCCTCCTGGTCCTCTTCCCGTTACTTGTATTAAAGAAATCGAGACTGAATTTGCACAACATACTGAACTCTGAGAAGAGTCTAGACATGTGGGAGGTTCCAGACTTCATTTCCACTGTGCTCACATCGTTGTTGCCATCGGCTGAGGGAACCTCTGTCTGGTTCTTAACCTGTTCGTTTGGTTGTTTCTTTACTGCAATTAACCCCTTTCTGTCCTATAACTTTTATGGAGAGAATGGCTCTTTCTGTTTTGTAATTAAATTAACCTGTTTGTAACTACTGTTTGGGTTGACCTGGCTTTGAGAGGACTTTTCTATTCTTTTTGACAAGGTGTTGTTTGTGTCTGGATGCCCTGTTTTCCGCCTGTGACTTTTGTACTGTCTGTGCACAAACTCTTCCCCTATGAAGCAGAGACTTGGACCAGGCTGTTCCAGAAGCCATTTCTCTCGTCGTTGCACAGCTAAAATAACAAAGTAAAATAGAGATTGAACTTTCCTTTAAAATTCTATAGGGCCAGACTTAATAAATTAAATGCCTTATTCCTAGAACCTGTATCCTTAGGGCTACATAGAGATTTTCATGTGTTTTAAAGAAATTAATTTGTGAAAGAGTTATAAAAAAAAAAAAAAAAAGGCAGATATATTTATGAGATTAAAGTGAAGCTGTATTGTGGAGCAAATTATATTTAAAGAGTTTATTAAACCTTAACTATCTGTTAAGAGCAAAGAGACTTGACTCGTCTCTTTCCGAGGGCAATAATGGTATTGGGCCTGGCCTAGGATTTAATTTTGTAAGATGTATCATCATTTGTGAGAAAAAAAAAATGTAGAGTTGAATCTTTGTTATTTTTACTTGGACTGTTGCTGCAACTCTGCATTGAACAAATAAAGCATATTTATTTATTCTGTTTCATGAAGTTGTACTTTTTCCCCTTTTGCCAGAGAAGGATGCCGCATAGAGAATGTCCTGAAGAATATCAAATGCAGAAAGTATGCTTTCAACATGCTGCAGCTGATGGCCTTCCCCAAGTACTACAGACCTCCGGAGGGGACTTACGGGAAGGCCGACACCTAAGCTTGCCAACATGTAAATAAACAGAAACACAAATACGCTTCAATTGGATACTCTCTACCTTTTATTCTTTCTTTCTTTTTTCTTCTTTTTTTTTTTCATTGTCATGAATTTGTGGAAAGAGATGATCAGGGCTGTGTGCCCAAATCTAGGAATTACTTGCATCAGTTATCAGCATACCACTCTGAAAGAAATCCATTTTGAACAACTTTACATGCTAGTGTCCTTCCGAGTGCTGAGTGTCTACGTGTGGCCTCTCGCTGGTTGAGATCAGCTCGGAACGGGTCCCTCTCGTGCGTGGAGTGTTTGCTCGAAAGGCGTGCTGAGGAAAGAGGTGCCACGGAGGATGCGAGGTGGCCCGGGGAGCGGCGCTGTCCCTCCAACAGGAAGCCAGGAGGGTGGGGGGGAGGGACGTTGTGATGCCATTTCACAGTTTTCCTCACGCATGCCCTTAGAGCTCATTTCTGGGCTTTCAAGCATATTTTTCTAGTGAGTTGAAATTAGGTGCCATCAGCTCATGGCTTTGGTTACAGGACATTTACAGGTGCGCCTGTGAAGATTTGTCATCCAGTCGAGACGTGACTACTCCTCCCGGACAGGTGAGCAGTGCTAGTAAAGCAGTAAAAATACTTTTGAAAAACGTGGACTCTTTTCAAAGCCCTGCCTTGGGTTGTATGGCCCTGCTGTAAAATGCACGAGAGAAAGCTTAATGGGATAATGAGCAAAAGACTTCGAGGAACGGAAACGTCGAGGAAACAGAAGATGGTCAGCCTGTCACGTCCAAAGCGAAAATCCCCATCGGCCTGAGCTCTGTGTGGTTAAGATCATGACGGTCAAGAAGATGCCTCTGAGGTCTTTGCCAGCAGTCACCTTGGTACAGAGTATAGGTGGTGTAAGTATGCACCGCCTGGCGTAGAATAGTATGTGTGATAAACCTTCTAAAACATATGCCATCATAACTAACGACCCACCAAAGCAATGATTTCTGTTAACCTGAATTTCAAATTTGTCCTTACTCAGGTAAAAGGAACACCTTAAAGTGTCCACCACTTTACATTGGAAGCTGCCTGAGAGACTACCTTGTGTAACACCTTCCTGGGTGGGTAAACAGCAGCACAGGAACGTACGCCTCCGATCTCATAGCCAGATCATTTTAGAGCCAGGATTATCATCTCTTCGTCCCTTCCTTCCCGGGGGTTCGTCTATTCTCCAAATCGCTGTGCCAAATATACACGAAAATTACAGGAGAGTTAACTAGAAATAGAGTTAATTAACTAGTTAGTGAAATAGAAATTGACATTTCTTCCTGGGATTAAAACTTAGATGACACCACTCTGACCAACTGAAACCTCTTTTCTCCAAATTTTAAGGCTGTATTATTTTTCCTTCCTCATCAGAGCAGCACGCCATGGAGAGCACACCTCTCCCTTGGAAACGCCAGGGGCTTGTTGCAAAGACATCTTAGTTATGAGCGCGTCCAGTGGAGGGCGTGAGGGGCTTTCTCGTAGCTAATGCAACGGCTCCTTGACTAAGACACTTGCCAACAGAAGGATTCCAAACAGATCTCTAGGTTCATGAGTTTTTTCAAATTAATATGAATTTTAGATACCCTTTGGGGCTTCTAATACTAGAATTGTCAATCTATTATTTTAGCTGACTGTGGGCATCATATGTGAGGCAGTTGCTGAAGGCTATTCTCACACAGGCTGTGCGCTGTGGATCTATTCATGGATCAGTCATCTCGGTGTTTTTTCTTAGACCCCGTTCTCCATTTCAGTGATTAAAATAATCTTGAAATTGTTCAGTCGTTTGAAAATGGTAGGATGTGTGGTCATTTTCATTGTCCCATTGGGTTTAAGATAAAAAGGTTGGGAAAGGAGAGGTTTCCTGGAATAACTTTAGTATCTCAAGTGGTCTGAGTTCCAAGAGGCTGATTCACTGTCCTGTAAACACTCTTACAAACAAGAATTTTTGGTTGCATTTGTTAAAATGAGAGCTCTCGACTCAAGTGTGGCAAAAATATTTAACTAGAAAACCAATAATAGGGTTATTTTTATTTTGGGAAGACATTTCAAAGATTTTTTTCTTTTATAGTAAGGAATACTCTAGATGCTGCAAAGGGCAGACATTACTGTGCTACAAATGCATATGAATTTTTGTTTATTATTAACATAGCCATCTGCATTTCCTGACAGAAAGCCAATATTTGTACATACGTTTAAATGTGGATTTCATCAAGGAAATTTGTGTTTCATACCAACAACAACATTGCCCCTTTTCTAAGATATATTCCAAGCATTCTTGGAAACAGCTTCATTATTTCTTAAATTATTAAGGCTTTCTAAATCAAAGAACCGAGATTAAGCAAATCATTTTTAAATCTTCTTTGTGCAGACACAGCCTTGATCATGGTTTTCTAACTACGTTTTCATTTAAAATATACAATCACCAGCAGGCTGATTTTACGAGATCACGTCAACCAGAAAATGACATTTCCAAACGAGATAATTTTTTGCTCAAAAATAGTTCCCCTCTATTATCATCAAATGCAGATATCAATTCTGTATTCACTATCGACAGTCCTACAGAAAACATAGTTTAAAACAAGTGAAGGTGAAATCCTGATTACCTTTGTTCCAGTGACAGAAGGTCGAGGGTCTAGAAATGTCCCACAGAGCAGCAGGTCGTGAACATTTGAAGTTTTTGTTTGAAGCAACCCCACCCTCAGGGGCACCCTCTCATTTATTACTCATGTCGGGGTTTTTTTCTTGTAAATATTTCCATAAGTGTGTCTACAGTCTGCCAAAACAATCCCTTGATGTAAATATTTTGCTCAGTCCAGTTATCTGATGAGTCAGAGTGGTCCTTGGATACAGTGGACACATTGTACTCAGTTGTACTCAAATGTCCAGTTACATCAGTATGCCATGTACCTTACCTCCAGTGCTTACTTTATGAGAGTAGCACCTTTTCTTCTGAAAACTATAAAGTCCTAAAAGCTAGCATCTGCAGGGAGGACACTCCCCTTTTCTTCCCCTCAACTAAAACGGTTTTGCATAAAATACGACTCAAGATGGAAAAGAAAGAGGTTTGTGTAGACTGATCATTTCCTTCGCAAGCAAATCAAAACCCTTCCATACGTGGGGTTTGATACGTGCCAAGAAGAGGTTGTACCAATGGTGTGCTGGAACTGGCTTGTGCTGACGCATGACCATGGATCGTGAATTTTTCTGGAATTGTATGAGTTCGTTGTTAAACACAACCATCAAAACTACCACTTCCTAAATATTTTGCTACATTTTTCAATGTATGTCTACTCTTGAGGTTAGATCCATTGTATCTGCAGCAGAAACACTGTTCCACATTATAGAGTACTCCTGTGCTGCTCCTCCTGGCTCCGCGTTGAGTAACATCTCATCAGGAGCTTGAAATTGACCACAGTGGGTGGATTTACACCAGCGACATAGTCAAAGGCTACAAATTACCGCCTTTGATTCCTGGAACTCCAGTTGTTAAGTATTTCCTGGCACACAGACTGAATGCCACCATCACTTTTTGTCTGGAAAATAAATAATTGGAAACAGTATAAAATTATTAAAATGGTATAAAGTGCAATCACTCATCTTCAGATGGCTGCGACTACGCTTCAGTGTTTAACCTCTCTGAAGACTCTTAAGTTCTTCGTAACATTTGATGTTTATATTTTATTCATAATTAAATTATTTAGTCATAGAGATGTGTTTTAAAACGTGGTGTCTGGCAAGGGAAGTCTTGGCCATGCAGCATCAGTGTGAGCAATAACAACTCCAGGCTACATTTGGGCAAATGCTCACTTAATTAGACAATCAGTGAAAATGTGCTTCTGTACCAATTTTTAAGTTTATATTTTTAGCCTTTGCTAAAAGCAGGGGGAAAAAATAGCAGCATATGACTGTGCCCAGATTCTAATTAATACAGCTCAATTGAAACCCAAACTGTTAGATTAAACAAATTAAACCCTGGCATTATGCTGTCACCACAGACGTTTTAAGTGTCTGACTTCCAAATAGGATGGTGCATCCGTTGTTAAATTCCATATACGGGGTGCATGTGTGATCTCGTAGGAAATCTAATAACTCGTATCACAAGTTAACAAACTGGTCCGAGGCAAATTGTAATCAGCAGCTATGAAAGGAAACAAACTTGTTGAACCAAGATGTCCTTAAAACTGGAGACTATACAGATCAAGCCCTGTGGAGGAGAGTTATTTGCTGAGAATGGTGTCATTGATGGAAAACTTTAGTGTGAATTCACATTCATTTAGCCAGCTGCAATCTGCAACACCTATGCTTTTCTCCCCTTATTCATGTTTCATTGCTACATAAAGTTCCAACATATTATATCTTTGGTTTCTTTGGCAGTTTTAAGTTAGAACTTTCCAGACAGATGCTACCTATAGTTAAAAACTGTCTTCCAGAACAGCAAAATAAAAGGAATGTTTTATATAAAAGATTGCTAACCAATTAGGTACAGAGTTAAGGTTTGGAAACTTGGATGTTTACCTTCTGAGTCATAGTGCACATTAGGCCCTCTTTGAATCTTATTTCTAAGCAAGTAAGAAAAAGCCTAAAACATGTCTGATGTCAAAGAAACAAATCATATCTGGCTACTGGTACCAAGGAAGTAGGAAAAAATTGTAAGGTAATAATAACCAAAATAAAGTGTGTGCAATAAGCTCTCCTGAGCTTGAATTTTTATAGTTTACGTGAATGTTTATAATTTTAAAATAAAAACGGAAAACAAGACTCACAATTAAGTAGTGTGCACAGAGAGAGATAATATCAAGGGAGAGAAGACCTGATATAAGTGACCACATCTTGCTTGTCTTTTAGTAGATGGAGTTATTTAAGATGTTGCATGTTCACACTCATAGCGTGAATACATTCACAGTCTTCCTAAAATCATCGAAATTATTCCAGGGGACACAATCCAACAGTCCATCTTTAATGATGACTCGGTGCGGTATTGTTAACCAGCAAGCAATATTGACTCACATATTGGCAATATTATCTATATAGTTCTGTGATGCTTTTATATCACTATCAATATTAAAAAAAATACTTCATGTTAAGTGAACTCTCAGACTTTTAAAAGACACACTCCATGTGTCTATAACTATGTAAGACACCCATTTCACTGCACACGTGCAACCTTTGCACGCATATACTTCTCATGTGAATATCTTACTATTTTATTTAACATCTAATTTTCAGATTCTTGTGGTACTTATCTGAAATGTTGGCATTTGTTTTCTTTCTGTGTTAAATATATATTCTAGATGAACTAATTATATGTATCCCTAGGCAATGATGCACAAATAGGTTAGATCATTTTATATTTACATTTGAAGAAGTGTCATTTTGCTTTATTGTTCTGTGGAAACCATATTCATTGTACACTGTGTGTATATTTTTGTTTAAATAAATGTGATTTTTATTTTTTATGTTTCCGTCTTTTTCTATTATACATTCTTTTTCATTTTCATCAAAATAGCAATCTCCAAAAATTAACGAAAATATTAGAAGAGTAGACTATACAATATTTCAAAGAGAAGAGACTTATTTTATGCTGGACCATGGTTATAATGCAAATTTTGCAATGATGCAAGGTTAATCTCACAGACACTAGCAGAATGTACTTTTCAGGGTTGCTATTTTGTAGGAGCAAGATCAACCACAATTTTTAAAAAGTCCCAAGAACCAGAGGTCAATGCTTTAACACTGGGTAAATCACTGACCTTTGTAGTCAATAATACATGAAGAGTCATTTGAGCACAGGTGTCCGTATAGCTATTTGGATCTGATTATTTATAATTCATTGTTAACAGTTGATAGTAGAAGGCAAATCCCAAGGACTTTTAATTAGATCTTGTTGCCAAGGAATTCACCAGATGAGGCCCCTGCTTACATTTAAAGGAAGAATAAAGTTTTGCCATCTGGAGAATTTCAAGAGCATATCCGATCCTACAACAAGAAACATTCTCCTTCTGTATCATCATCATCGGCATATGTTCATATTAACATGTCTTATTACATCTGAGCAGAATAAGGCTGTAGGTAGCCCTGTGGTCAATCAAGCTGGTGAATTATAACAAAATGCTGTCTGGCATAAAACCAGAAGAGTCCCCTGGGGGAAGTCGTAACTCTGTTACCTCAAACATCCTCGGGGGTTGTAAGAGACTGACCTCCACTCAGAGTCGAGAAGATGTGTTCCGGGGCTATAGTTTGCTAAACCCGGAGAGTGGAATCGGGAGAGTGGGTGGATGTAGTGGAGCATGTCCAGACAGCACTCACCCTGAGCCAATGACCATGTGGAATAATTCTGTGATTCTGGAGAGCGGGATTCCACAGTTCTGTAGCTCTCTGTTCTCCCAAGGTCTTGACGACTGAGAATGGACCAGGATCACCTTGACATGCCAGAAAGCAAAGACTAAATACATAAAATAAAAATAAAAACAAGAAAAAGGTCGAAACAAAACACAGAAGGAACATGTCCAAAGAACAAAACAGGCAACTTGAAAGAACCCCCAATGTCCATAACTGGACAATCAGTGCCATGAAATAATGATAGTATTGAAGTATGAACCAAAGAACAAAATAAGCATCTCTGATAAAAAGAAATGTTTGCATGAATAAATAAACAATAGAGAAGAGACGCCTTATCCCTAAGTTGTTCATTAATTCCAATGAATTAGTATAGACAGAAGGAGAGTAGAAAATCACCATTATGAAAATTACTCTGGGGTCATTAGTAATAAAATGTATTGATGTCATGTACCCTCTGTTATAATGTAATAGGACGAGCACATTGAACACATCACCTCTCTGGCATCCCCCAAATCCACACACTCAGTCTATGAATGAGAAGCTATCAGGCAGATCCGCATTGAGGGACAATCACAAAATACCTGACGAATACTGTTCAAAATTACAAAGGTCGTGAGTTGTAAAGAAATGCTGAGGAGCTGTGGCACATTGAAGGAGACCAAGAAGACATAACGACTAAAAGTAATGCGTGATTCTGTATTGAATCTTGGAACAGAAAATGAACATTAGTGGGAGATCTAAATAAAGTCTCTGGTTTAGTTGATGGTATTGTACCAATTGTTATGTAAGAAACCAGGGGCAAGTTGTACAGGACATCTCTATCATCTTTAAAACTCTTCTGTAAGTCTAGAAGTATCTCAAAATTAAAAACAACAACAGCAACAACTGTATCTTCATCTCTGCAGCCTTACACCTTGTCTCTCTGCTAATTTGTTCAGAATGTGGACAGGAAAAGGAGGTGCTATAGATAAATTCTCTAAAATCTCCCTTAATAAAAAAATTCTGTGGGGTTTATTAGCTTATAACTGTGCAATAATCGTTAATAATGGTTAATTATTAATTAATAATAATGTAGTAATGGTTAATAGATTAAGTGATTTTCCTAGCACAATCTTTAACACTCATCTTTTTAAAAATTGCCAGAACACCTACGAGAATTGTGTATGGAAATTTTATTTGACTTTCTTCTCTCTTTAGGAAATCTTTTTAGTAAGTATCTTTTCTAAACGTCCTGCTTTAGAAAATGACCGGAGCAAGAGGCAGTATGTAAAGACTTGGGAGAAAACTAGGGGTTTAAATACGATTTTAAGATTCTCGATGTGTGAATGTGGCCTATGAGAAAAATGTATGCTTTTGAGGCACTTCATGAAAGTAATAGTTTGTAGAATATTCTCCTGAGGAAGAAAACCGATTTTGTCCTACACCTGAGGGATAACAGTAGAAATTACCTTTTGACTGTGTGTTCAGGGTAAACGTGCACATTTGTTTTTTCTGCCTTTACATTGTTTCTGTACCAATATCGTCTAGCTTGGATTTTTCTCCATTTAAAGAATATGAGCTTTTAACATTTACAACTGAGAGGATTGGGAAAAGCTTTTCTGTGTAAATTAATTCCATTTTCATCAATGTTGCATATATAATGGTTTTGAATCTTTAGATCAGCTTAAGAATGTTCTGGACAAGGAAGGGGGTGCACTTAGATGAACGTAAGCAAGTGAGCACATCACCTGACTCTAAATACCTTGGAACCTGAAACCAATAAAATGCCATTAAAAAAAAAAACACAACTTTTTTCAATCTATTAAGATGCATGGTGAATTTTTGAGGAAAAAACAACCTGCCTGAAATGTGCAATTGATTTTACCTGCAAGTGGTACCCTGGACAAACATCTGAGGGAGACGGGGTCCATCATCGAGTAAGATGCTGCTGCTCCGTGGTGGTTCCGCTTTCATTGCATCCAGAGGCAGGAAGATGAGCAAGGAGAGGTCGCTTCCTTACATAATTTTAACACAATTTTAACCACCTAGAAGGTCCAGCGTGGACTTTGATGTAAATTGTAATACAGTATAGGCATTCAGGAACTGCTCGATGAGTTGAATTGACCTTTGATCAGAAAAGGCTATGTTAGTGCTAAGGCATGGAATAAAATATAGTTCTTCTTTAATGGGAAACAGGCAATAAAGAAATTGTCATTTTTAAAAAAATGAACTGAGTACATTTTGAAGATCTTACTGGCTTTCTTCAATGATCATTCGAATAGACAGAAAGAAGCAGCGAGGAGCAGTACAGAATGACAGACTTTTATAGGCAGAAGAGGGAGGGAGTGAGGACTTACCATACTAGACCAGAAAGCATGTTAGTTATTGCAAGTTCGCTTCCCTTAGGGGATGGCAAGGGCCTATCAGGCAGGTGACCTAACTGGTGCTGATCAGGTGATTCCTGAATAACTGGATTGCATTTCTGGGAGAGCTGAAACTGTCCTTAAGTTAGGTCTCAGTTTGGTCATGTGGGGCTTAGCATAAGCAACTCCATTTTGGGCCTGCTGTCTTGTCTTTAACACCACTACCCCCTTTTTTGTTGAATATTGCTTAGTGTACTGAAGATCTCTGTAAAGCCATTTTCAGTATAGAGGTTTGTAGAATATTCTTCCTAGTTTTTGTTTCTAAGTTAGTTAGTTTGTTTTGTCTTGGACAGAAAGGATGCAGGTATTGTTTTATCTGAAAAAGATAATGACCCACTGAAAATAGATCTAACTATTCTTTGTTCTGAGTATAATTTAAAAATGAACATATTAGAGAAATGAATCCAGGAGATACAAGGAGTAAAAATGTAATATAGATTAATTCTCCTTACTAGTATTCCTACATCAGAAAATGTAAAATTTCTTTTTCTTAGTGTCTTCCATTTTTAAATGGAGTCAATACTGCCTATGCAAAACATACAGAAATAAATTATTTATTTTCTTGGAAAAATATACTACTTTAAAAGATCTAAAGCCCTTGGATCTTGGGTATCATTTATGGATAAAATATTATTAGTTGCATTCTGAATTATTTTTCTGCATGGAATTTTTGATAGATGAGAGCTATATCAACTTGAGTAAGTAAAATTATTTTCAGATTTTTTAATTTCCTAATAAATGAATAAAAATGTCTCTTCTTATTCTAGCTCTACCAGATAACTAGAAATGTCATTAAGATGTCTGCATCCTAAATGAATAAAATTTTATTGAATATAGGACTTTTATTAACTTGTATTTTTACCTTTGATGACATTCTTCTTTTTCTTCTTAATCACACTTTATACATTATTAGCAAACCACAGTTCTTCAATTCATCTGTTATTTTTACCTTTGTCTTGCAGATTTGATATTGATAATTGAGATCATCGAGTAATGAAAGAATCCTCTCAGAGAGAATGAGCTGTAATCAATTAAAATACTATCTTTTATTTGTCTGATTGGGCAAGGCAAGTGTCCAGGTCCCTCTGTGAGATAGCAAAAAGCAATCATTTTTATTTTGCAAAACAGAAAACCAAAAACACAGAATGGAACATATCAGATACATAAAGAGCGCACATCTCTGAACTTGTCCGACTGCGAACTGCATGTTCCAATTTTAATGAGTTGAGTATAAATACTCTCCCAGGTAACAGAGTGAGAAGCTGGAAACCCACCATTGCAACACAGATCAGAATTTGCTTCATAATAGTACCTATCAATGCTTCCTTCAGGTAAGTTGTATCCGAAGAAACATTCTTCTCTGACTAGTGGAAACTTGGGTATTACTGTGGAAAAACTTAGATACACAAAGGAATCCAAGAATAGATTTAGATTAGTTCAACAAATATCTATTGATCATGTCCTATGCACTGGGCACTGTGTGTAAAGTTCAATAGAAAACAATGTAGCAGATAAGACACTTACAAGACAGTTACAATTTTACTACTATGCGGAAGGATTTAAGACTACAGAAGAAGGGCATTATGCTAGTCCTGGATAAGAAGGGAAAAAGGAAGGCTTTCCAGAGGACACCACGGGTAA